AGGCTGATACGACTTTGTACAATGCCCTGTGTTAGTGTATTTATCTCTGGGATGCTAAGCTAAATAATGTAAGTTAAGGAAGACAACATTAAAATGTAAATATTGCAAGTGACTAATAGATGAAAACTTAAAACAGTCTTACTACTAACAAAAATCAATGGCTTCACTCCCATATAGAGATAGTGGTTAGGACTCTCGCCGACTATGCACATGGTCCGGGGTTCGATCCCCTGCCGACGCACACCCGATATCTATGGTCGGCCTGCAAAATTTGGGCTACCGTTATCCATGCTGAAAATTCCATGCTTGTACTGAAAAGACTGTGTGGCATAAAGCTGTAATCAAAATGAAATGAAATGAATCTTGTTTGGTGAGCAATAATGAGGTTAGGCTTCAGTCGATGTGCTAGGTAAGGAGAGGAAATCAATCGACGAGTTTGTGAAGTTACATCGACAGAAATGGTTAGGACATGTGTTGCGCATGTCTGCCTAACCATCGCCCTCCTCGATTGACGGTCAATGTTAGCTGACATACGACGGATCAGGTTGGAAAAGAGAGAGCTAGTGGTGGTCAAACCAAAACATGGCTTCATCAGTCAATGAAATCAACAACAGTTAGTTTAATCCAGCCAGCCACGTAGGCAGGTGTAGACTTCCTGGTTGGGGTCCTCGGGACGGCGATAACCAATGAGGGCTAGAGATAATCGGTGATATGGCTCAAAATGCTCGTTCTCAATGGTGTAGATGCATCCACTCCTTGTCATTTATAATATCCAATACAATTCTATTGTTCCTGCGTATTGTGGCGTGTCCCACTGATAAGATTTATCAGTAGCATGTAAAAAGACGTTCATCGGCATAAAAACAGCAAACAGCAGCGAGATAATATTTGATGTCAGAGAAACCAAACGATACAGAGTTGCGGAGATGCATCGGAGAAGTGAAAGGAACACAAAGAATCACAATATGAAGGAAGTGCAGACGTAGCACAATACGGAAGATCTGTGCAAATGGTAATTTGTAGATAAGGTGTACATGATTTCGCTATATAGAGATATCAAATTCCAAATAAACATCACTTCACCAAGTCTCTCGTCTTCTGCCGTTACAAAAATACTATTTTTTTGCCTTAAACTTCTGTTTATTATCTCTCTTTTCTTGCTTTGTGGTAACTCGAACTGCTGCCCATTTGTGCAAAGTCCTCTATTGGAACCAGTCAGTCATTCTGTTTGCTTAGTTATTGATTGCAAAGCAATTATTATTGTTCCCTTGGGTTTCTAGTGGAACATAGGGCTTCAACTGCACGTCTCCATTTGCTTCTGTCCTCTGCTGTACTTTTCACCTAAATCCATGTTAGTCCATACTGTTTCAGCTCCTCTTTACACGTTCTCCTCCATGATACCATTAGTCCTCTAATTAAAGAAATTTGTTCTCCGTCAACAAACTAAATAAACACGGTATATAACTTTGTGATCAGATTGTTAAAAGTGGTGAATTCAGTCATTACAGAATGCTATATTTTAAGTCAATTAGGTAAATTACCACACTTACTCCTTGACTTATACGGAACACACTGACCAATATATGGCCTATTGTCTACTTATATAAAAATGTATGTACTTTTTACACAGGAAATGAAATAAACGAGATACCAACCAATAAGAACAAAAGCTCACTAGATTAGGACTTCTGTGTCAATAGTACGATAATATAACTCCACCTCTGACAAGTATGATTAGTTAAAGGGGCTTAAAATATGACGGAACACGGCTGTCCAATGGACAGGCAGCGTTAGTTTCTGACAAAGGATCAGGTTGAAAAAGAGCTGGTGGCTTTGTGAGTCAATAAAATCCACAACAGTTAGTTTAAGCCGCGTGGGGAGGTGTATGCTTCCTGGTTAGGGTCCTCGGGATAGTAGAAACGCAATGGTTCGAGATAATCGGTGATATGGCTTAGAATCGTTGTCAATGACGTTGGGTTTTGCCATATCCAATAAAACTCCACTTCCATTCCATATTACTATTCGTTTTGCCTTATATTTCTGTTTATTATCTCTTTTTTGAATATTTCTTTGATCTCTTCTCTTGCTTTGTGTGCTAGATGGAGTGTAGCAACTCAAAATGCTGCACATCTGTGAAAAGTTCTACGTTGAAACTAGTCAGTGCCCAATTTCGGTTGACACATAATCGATCTTACATAAATCTCCCCTAAAATTATCACTATACCTCTGAATCAAAATGTGTAGGTTTTCACAACAACAACAAAAAATGGCGAAATTGAATTAACTACATAACTGTAGTAAAAAAAAATAAACTCCGAATGATTCATGGATAACAGGGAAGATAGATACACCTTCAGACAACTGTATGATTCAACACAGTGATTGGGCAAATGACACTACTTTATGCTCTTATTAGTGCTGACCAGATGATAACTATCCAGCCATTTTAGGATTGTTTCAACTACCTACCTTCTACTGCTTTGAACATTAAAAAACCCTGAAGCGTTTTATAACGTTCAAACTTTGACGAAATATTGTAAGATGAAACAGGTCGCAATACAAATCAACGTTCAGTGATGAATTCCCTAACATGAGACCAACAGATAGATGAATTTTGGAAAGAGAGAGAGAGAGAGACAAACTTATCGACATCAGAAATATTCATGTGAAATAGCTGCGGACGACAAAGCCAATCTCTCTCAACCTCTCTCTCGCTGGGGAGGAGTTAATTCACATAAATTTGATAGTTCAATAATATCAAAGATTACGCAACATAAACTATCAAGTAACTAAGTCTTTCAATCATTATAATAACAAGAACAACAATAATAGTAATAATAATAATAACAGCAATAATAAAACAAACTTATTTCTTACAAATTTTCTGAAAATGATGCATTTTAATAATAGGTTTGTCAACCAACCAGTGTTTGGTTTGTTTGTTTGTATTGAAATGGGAAAAGTGGTGAGAAGAGAGAAGGAATATATAATATATCATATCAGGTAAAGTAAGTGCCTTGTGACCAACTGACTAACAGACTAGTAGTAATAGTAGTATTAGCAGTAGTAGTAACGAGGATGATAAAAAAACAAAAACAAAGATGAACAACAACAAGAAACAAACGAGATAAAAACAGGCAATAATACAGGATAGGATAGTAGTATAATGCAACAGGATTCAATACCGTTATCATCTCATTGTGTGTGTAATAAATTATTTAATCAACCAGCAAAAAATGCACAACCGAAAATAACGCGTTGACACAAACTTGTTTGTTTCTGTTTATTTAGAGAAAAGAGAGAAACCAGTATACGGGGGGCGGGAGAGAGATAGGGGGGTGCAAGCATTGAACATACAAGGAACAGTGAATGTGAGGATGAAAAGGAAACAATTGTCAAAATCCTCTCCCTTTCTCTCTTCAGCATACACTCACACTCACAAGGAACACACACACACACACAGGAGTATAGAGAGTACTGAAACACATGTTTTGTCATTTTCACCTACCTATTTTATGGTGAGTTTATAATGACAACCGAAATAGAATAGATCACATAGTTAGTACGAGAGAGAGAGAGAGGGAGAGAAACAGAAGGAGAAGTGACAGACAGTTCAGCATGCTACTGCTACTAATGATTACTCTACTATTTATTTTCAGTACTAATTATAAATGAGAAATGAAACAGAACAGTGTAATACATATTATATAAGGCTTAGATTCTCGTTCTTCGTCTCTTCTTAAATGTGTGCAAAGGAAGATGGATGAGTTGAAGATATGGGGCGCAAAGATGAATAACTAGATCACATATAATAATAATAATGTAGATGATGATAGCAACTCAGATGTCTGATTCTCGTTAACAATGTCCACCAACAACAAATCAATACACAGTAATAATAATAGTAATAATTCAAAATGCATATAAATATATGACCAATGTTTAATGAAAGTCTTCTATGAATTTTAAACAAGAAGAGCATAGATACACGCATACATACATACATATAGACAGACGACGTACATACACACAAGATTGGGGGGAGGGTGTGGTTTCGCAAGGACATACATACATACATGACTGTGAAAAGACGGAAGCATTTTGGTAACAGCTGTGTTGTTAAAAAAAAGTAATAACAGGTGGTGTAGTAGTGTAGTATAATACTTAATATAATGATGACAACAGAGTCCTTTCACACATATCGAGTGAGTGAGTTACCAATACATAAAGCTGATCCACCCTTAATGCAGCATAATAAGATGAAGAGAGAACATAAAACTATGCGCCGTGAAAACAAGTCCACTTTTTGTAGAGATACATGTAGATATAGTCAGATAGTTAGATAGATAGATATATACACGCGCATGTTAAACTGGAAGCACAGAGTAGGTGAGACAAACAAACAAAAAAAGAACTATAATGCTATGTGTGTTGTATTGGTTTGTGTATATGTGTACATAGAGTTTAGTCATTTTGTAAGTGTAGCGCCTTTGACAATTAGAGCTCAACAGCAGATGCAGCAATCTGAGCCACACACTCTAAATGTGAGTGAGTTAGTGCAATAACTCAGCTATAATAGTAATAATAATCATAATAGTAATAATAGTAATGTGAAAGGCTGTTCCAAAAAGATATAAGAAGATATATGAAAAAGAAGTGTGAACAACCTAATCTAACCTAACCTAATCAAAACAAAAGAGAGAATTACATATATATGTGTGTGCAATGTGAACACTTTTCAAGGAAATTCCATACTACCACACACACACAAACAGAAAACAATGACTTGTTAACTTGTACAATAGAGACAGAGAGAAGATGATGGATGACATAAATTAAGTATGGAAATTATTAACAATAGACAGTGTAATATTAATAATAACAATAGTGGTACAACAGATGCATTACTCAGGTATTACTCAAACTGGCATCATCATCCATTTATATTCTTGTATCTATCTGTAAGGGACGACATATGTATGAGTATAGTGTGTGTGGGCAGTGTGTAGTTAGTTAGTTAGGAAATAATTTCAGGAAAAATAAGAGAGGGTAGATATGTTGGATATATATATGTATATATAAAAAAACGTATTGATACATATTTCAAGAAAGATGAGACTTTGAAATGATGAATGCAGGCTTATTAACACAACTGATGAAATACAGACACCGATATAGATGCGAAAGAGGAGACAGTGAATTGAACTGATGATGATGATAATGTTAGAAATAGTAATACGTGACATCATCACCAGTTAACTTCAACATTTGAAATTCAGCATCCACAAGGAGTTTTTTTCTTTAAATTACATTGTTGGTTTTCTTTGTCTTCTTATATATAATATTATATATAAACACAGCATCAAAATATGAGATAAAATGAAAGCCTATAGGTTGTTGTTCACAGGAGATAGAGATCAAATACTTGGGAGAGAGAGAGACAGAGAAACAAAACAGAAAAGGTGAAAACTAAGCCTCTGTGGATGTCTCCGTCGGTTCAATCATCTGTTGACAAGTTATATTCTGATTGACTTCGTGCAATTCAGACTCAAAGTTCCGGGTGTCTGGTAATTTTGAATGAACTGAAGGGTGACATTCATCCTCAACTGCAGAGCCTGCTGAAGCAGTGTGCTGATGATCAGTAGTAGTAGTAGTAGTACTAGTAATGGTAGTGGTGGCATGACACGTGGTGGATGGATCTTCTATATCAACAACACAACGACGTGATTCCTCACCAATTTCTGTCTCACGTGGTGAGTCAGTATTGCTTTGAGCAGTTGTCATAGTTGAGGTAGATGATAAAACACAATCATCATTTGCAAGCGAGTCTGAATTTTTGCTTTCTGATGCCTGCTGTTGCGTCTGTTGTTGTTGTTGTTGCTGTTGACGCTTCTTCGCTGCAGCTAAACCAGCCCAAACAGTATCTGGTCCAAGAGCTTGAGCAGCATATGCCAGTATAGCAGCTTTACTAGGAGGTAAACCAGCCGCTGCTGCCATAGCCAACGGGTCAGTATAGTGGGGATGAGCTGGTGATTCTAATGGGATTTGGGGTGGATTTAAAAATTGATACATAGAGGATAGATTAGACGGATGTTCGTAATAATGAGGATGATGATGATGTGGAGAATGCATTCTCGGATCATCATCATCGTCATCATCTCCGCTTTCATCCTCATCGTCTTCATCGCCTTTGGTCTCATCATCGTCATCATCATCTTCGTCGTAGTCATCATCACTAGGAGCAGGACTGAGATCTGGCAGACTGTGGATGAAATTCCCAACATGGACAGGCTAATAAACAAAGCATAAAAACTAATATTCAGTAACGAAAATTAGACAAACTTTTGTTTAAAAAATGTTGTTCAGGTGATCAAAAGGGACATATATAAATATGATACAATAATTGTGCTACTTAAATGCAGGAGCATGTGCAGTGATTCCACACTGTATGAATGACTGAAATGTAAGGTGTGAAAGAATTTGCAATCTAGGAAAGTGTACGCTACCAAGTCTCTTAGGGCGTGGTGTGATCACATAGTACTGACTGATGATTGGAGCTACACACACAAACAAGATATGAACTAATAGACTATATAAACGCGACTCATCTACACAGCAAGAGATTATTCGCAGAGCAGAATTATTTGTCATTATTATTTGTGCGTACTGCCGATGATTCCCAAACTAGGATGAAACAGCAGCTGTCCAGTACTCCCTGGTTTTCAATGGTTCTCTAACTGATATCAGTCCGAGATCAACTCGTAAAAAAATAGAAATTATAAAAATTAGTGAGTATACTTGCGAGATTTTCAATTCTATCGGTACTAGTTAGCCAAATAGGACATTTATAGAAACCTGTAGACTTCTTCAATTTTTGAGGAATACTTGGATGGGAGTGACTGGGTTGCGTAGTGATGAAGAGTCCCAAGCTAGGATGAAACAGCTGTCTAGTATTTCCAGGTTTCCCAGTGGTTCTCTAACTGATATCAACTCGTGATGAAATCCTCCAACCAATATATATAGGGCTTTTGCATTCACCCCATAGTCATAGTCACAATCAGGCATAATCTGCAACATAACATTATTATTATTATTGTTCCCTTGGGTTCCTAGTGGAACATAGGGCTTCAACTGCACGCCTCCACTTGCTTCTGTCTTGTGCTGTACTTTTCACCTGCATCCATGTTAATCCATACTGTTTCAACTCCTCTTCACACGATCTCCTCCATGTCACCCTTGCACCGACGAACCACTCGCCGCTTCCCTTTCGGGTTCCACTCGAGCAATGGCCTGACAAGCGATGTCACCCAGCGGCCTCTTCAGCGAGTGTCCAATCCATCTCTACTTTCTCCTGCATATTTGTTGGGCGATTGGTTCTTATTTTGTTTGTTCCCATAGTTTCTTGTTGGTGATTCTTTCCGGTCATCTGATCTTCAGTATAGAGCGAAGCAGATTACTAGCTCGCTAGTTTTCTAGCCGGTCTCAAGCCCGGATAAAGAGGGAGGGTTGGGGCGTGGTGCTAGCAACTCCACCCCCAAAACTTAACCAGATTGCTACAGAAACTTCAACGCAACATAACATGGTTAATTCTAATTCCAAGCAACTACACACATGTGTACTTTCTGTACAAAACAATGTATTCAGATTAAATTACTGACACTGGGAACTGGCACTTAAGAAGAAAACAGGAGTAATTTTTAAGGAATAATATAGAGATGTTTACTAGGGCAATATTGACTTACATTTTCTAAATAAATTGCTCCGTCAACATCACCAACATCCAATCGCTTTTGCCCGATTGCTTTAGGTGGCCAAGGCTGATAATGCGAACCAGGAGGGACACACATACCACGATTGGGCAAACCACCGTCTCCGACTAGCTCAGGATTATAGGGTAAATGATATTCAGACGGATTGACATTACCAGTGTACGATAATTCCGGTGGCATATAATTAACAGACCGACTATTTCTAGATTGTGGAGCAATACAATGAACAGGTGGATACTGTTGATTCAAATGGTGTTGAGGATGACACATACCACCACCACCACCACCACTGACTGTTGTAGGATCCAAAATACCAGATTGATTGGCATGTGGATGATAATATGTACTCGGATTAGACAGATAATCACCCATTAATGGATCTGGCATATCAACGCCTAGTGGAATACGACTAGGAAAATTTAATTCAGTAGGTGAATATGGTTGACCAGTAATCCAAACATGTTGTAGACAATCCCATGCAGTAGCTCGTTTGTTAGGATCATATGCAAGCATAGGTTCTAGAAAACTGGTGAAAAGTGCCGCTTCTTTAGTTGGCCAATCATACTTCTCGGTGAGTACATTGAATAAACTCCAAGGTTTCAGTCGACGTATATGCCGTAGACAAGCTGATAAGAAAAAGTGAAGTAATATGTATTAGGTCCTTTTTAAAAGCAATTCATTACTAAGATTAGTAAAAAATTCTAAGGAGGGTAGTATTTTTTATGGATTATATAGATACAAATTTTTTTAATTTATGAAATTTAAAAACATCACGTGTAAAAATTATTCCCTTCAATTATGTACATTTCTTTTAGCAAGCAGTTTATACAAGAGGATATTTACTTGAAAATAAAACAAAAATGAATATTTATCAAATATATATGTTATCTTCTTACCCCGTTTGTCAAAATAATCACGTGAGTACTTTCCTGAAAGAGCAATATTTTTAGGTATCGGTCCCAATAATTCAATAATATGTGCTAAATGGTCCTCATCCCGAGTATAATCTTCACCAGAATGAGGTTCAAAAAGATAATCACCGGTAGCTAATTCAAAGGCCTGAAGAAGAAAAAACAAGCGTTGATAAGTATAATTTTAGACTAATTATTAGAGTGTGTGTGTTGAAACTGAGTCACACATTAACAATGAAGGAAAGCATAATTTAATCACAGAAAATTGGTGATTACATAATAATTATATAAAATTAGGAATGAAAGGGATAAACATCACGTGAGTCGACACACTGCTAGGTGAATAAAGACTAGTATTTGAAAGAATGAAACAATTCGGGCGATAATGTCAGAAATGAAGGCGTATATATTACACTAAATAGGAAGAAACGTATTATTAGTGATCAAAGACTCTGAATATTGGTCATGATCATTGATGATAGCTTGAGCAACATAAACAGGAAGCTTAAATTACACAAATAAGAGACACTGAGTGACTGGTTTCAACATAGGACTTTATACAGAAGTGCAGTAGTTCGAGTTGCCACACTCCATGTAGCACAGAAAAGAAGACAAAAGAGAAAAAACAGATTTTTTAAAAAACATAATAAGCAACAATGTGACGAAGAAAGAACAGTACTATGTACATACGATAGGGTTTAGCGGATATGGCAGATCTGAGAGTGTATGCGTCTACGCTACTGGCAACGATTTAGAGCCATATGACCAATTGTCTCTAGCCATTAGTCCTTAGCATCCTTACTCCTCTGTGCGTGGCTCAGAATAACTGTCTAAGATTTCACGGATTGATGTCAGGTTTTGGTCTGACCACCACTAGATCTTTTCTAACCTGATTCGTCCTATGTCAGCTAGCAGTGACCGTCGAGGAAGGCGATGGCTAGATATGAGTAACACATGTCTTCGCCATCTCTATCAATGCAGCCTCACAACCTCATAGATTGAATTACCCTCGTTACCTAACACTCTACGCCTAACCTCGATATGCTGCTGGTGCTGGATTCAACATAGAACTTGGCACCGAAGTGTAGCAGTTCGAGTTGCCACGTTCCGAATAGCACACAAAGGTAGACAAGAAAATGAGTGAAGAGAATCAATAGAGTTTTGACAAGTATAAGAGTGAAACAGAATGAGTAATGGTAGAAAGGAATATGAAAGATTACAGAGACTGAATACATCTGCGTAAGCCATTGACAACGATTTTGAGCCATTTCACCTATTGTCTCTAGCCATTGATTCTTAGAGTCCCGAGGGCGGGCCCCAACCCGGAAGTCTGCATCTCCCTACCTGACTCAGTTTAACTGTCAAGCATTTCATGGATTGATGCCATGTTTTTGTTTGGCCACCACTTACTCTTTTCCAACCTGCACCTATATCAGATAGTAATGCCCGTCGGGGAAGGCGATGGTTAGGCATGCGCAGCACGTCACCTAGCCATCTCAATCTATGTAACTTTATAACATCTTCGATTGATTTTCCCTCTTTGCCCAACACTCGACGCCTAACGCCAACATTACTTACCTTATTATACCACCCAACGCGAGAAAGAGATCGTAAACATCTGTCTTCCGCTCTCAATGGCCACGTCTCACCGCCATAGAGAAGGAAGGAGCGAACTGCTGAGCAGTATACACGTCCCTTGGTTGACAGCCGGATGTCACACCTACACCAGAGACGGTGTAAGTCGGCGAAAGCAGCCCGAGCTTTCTGGATCCGTGCTGTGATTTCGTCACCAATCAATCCGTTGGTGCTGATACAACTTCCCAAATAGGTGAAGTGGTCAACATGTTCTAACACTCCACTCCCTATCACTAAGCTAGGAGTTGACGTAGTCCAGTCCTGTAGCAGCATCTTGCATTTCACAGGGGCGAATCGCATGCCAAACATACGAAGATTGCTGCTCAAGGTGTTCAGAAGACTCTGCATTTTGTTAGCGTCCTCTCCTAACAGGACTATGTCGTCTGCGTATTCTAAGTCTATAGAACTATTCCCTGGTAACAAGTCGATTCCTAAGTCGTTAAGTTCAGTTAAGGATACTTCCATTAGCATATCTATGATGAAGTTAAACAGAAATGAGGAAAGTGGATATCCCTGACAGACACCACTGGTTTTTATCAATTCAGATGACAATTCCCCATAAGCCCTTACACGGCTACGTGAGTTTGAGTAGAGTGCCTTGATTAGTGCAATGTACTATCTTGGCACTCCCTTCACAGTCAAACACTGCCATAGTACCTTTCGATCCATGGAGTCGAAGGCCGCCTTCAAGTCAAGAAATATGGCAATTGTTGGACGCCTAAAAGTGTGTCTATGTTCTAGGATCTGTCGGAGAGTGAAGATATGATCTACGCACCCTCTACCTGGCCTAAAGCCTGCTTGATTTTCCCTCGTTTGTTCCTCCCGAGTTCTGCTTAGTCTGTGCATGATTACTGAGCGTAGGATTTTAGAGACTATGTTCGTTAGGCTGATCCCCCTATGATTATCACATGAGGACTTGTCTCCCTTCTTGAATATCGATATAATAAGTGACTTACCCCAGTCTGATGGAACCGTCTCTGATTCCCAGACGTTACCTAGTACCTTAGTTAAACTATATACTAGTATGTCACCCCCATATTTAAACACCTCCGGAATAATTCCGTCGGGTCCTCGATATTACTCACCTTATCACACCAGGACGCAGACACTTATGATTAAAACCAGACTTCTCAAGTCTTCCGCTTACAATGACGTCTCACAGCCGTAAAGGCAAACGGAGTCAACTGCTACGCAGTATACCTCCTTTGATCGATAACCAGCCGGAAATCACGTCTACGCCACAGATGGCGTAGGTTGGCATGAGCTTTGTGTATCCATGATGAAATTTCGTCAGCGATCATCCCGCTGACATTGGCTGATGCAACCTCCCAAATAAGTGAAGTGGTCAACATGCCCAGTCACTTCACTTCCTATCTTTAAGCTAGGAATCGATGCAGCCCAGTCTTGTGGCATCATCTTTCATTTGAACAGAGCAAATCGCATGCCAAACATTCGAGGATTCCTGCTCAAGATGTCCAGATGACTTTGCATTTTATCAGCGTCTTCACAATGGATGACTGTGTCATCCGCATATTCTACGTGAACAAGACTATATACCCTGGTGGCAGGTCAGTCCCTAAGTCACTGAGGTCAGTTGGGGTCAATTCCTTTAGTACATCTATGAAGAAATTAAACAAAATGGGGATAACGGATAGGCCTGACGGACACCACTGGTTGTAATCACTTCAGATTGCAACTCTCAGTAAAACTCTTACACGGCTGCCTGAGTGTTCAAGTACAGTGCTTTGATTAGCGCGATGTACTTTCTCGGTACTCCCTTCACGATCAAATATTGTCATAGAACTTCTCAGTTGACGGACTTGAATGCCACCTTCGAGTCAAGAAATACGGCAATTGTTGGACGGCGCCAGTAAATATGCTTATGTTCCAGAATCTGTCAAAGAGTGAAGATATGATCAATACCCCCCCCACTACATGGTTTCCTCGTGATTGTTTCTCTTGAGCACCACTTAATCTATGCATGAATTACTGAGCCTAGAACACTAGATACCACACATTAGTCAAAATAATCCCTTTATGATAAATATGAGGGGACACATACATGAACAAAACTTAGCAAACAGGTCAATGAGTCATAATGAGCTAGCTTACCGCCAAGATACTACTATGCTCAATTCAAATACTGTCAATAACATAATTATTCCGTGGAATAATGTACCATATAACCTTATGTGGTAACATATCACGTTAATTGTGTCGAACGATCGCTCCAGGAAAAAATGCGTAGATTGATTGACGTTCCCAGTGAACTGTCTATGATAATGTTTCTTACTTTTGAAATGAGCAAAAAATGAAACTCACCACCAATAGTTATTAATTCAGGGTCATTACACACAACAGCAATTTATATCGATTTATATCTAGACTCATAATGATACTTTTATGACACTGATATTATTTCGATGGTGGTAACTTCTGCAGGGTTGATCCATTTTTACCCTCATCATAAAACTTTTACACGCAATGGTCGCCTGCCTCACGGCTAATCGTACTTCTTCTGATTAACGAGTTATACAAATATTAAATTGTATAGACGTAAGGCCATTCTTCCTTACATACTTCATTGTTACAACAGACATAGACAGCTTGACTCAGATCAAATCACGTTATGGATGAAAAATCTGTCGTATATTTTAGTAGATAAATATTCAAGCACTTTATGTTTCACAGATTTATGCCTAAGAGTTGAATCGATATATTTTGAACACATAACAAGAAATAAAACGCTATAATACAAAGAATTTTTTTTAAAACAAAATAACCTATGCTAATGTATTCGATGGATAAAAAAAACCGACATACCATGCACGCAGTACTCCAAATATCTGCAGGTGGTCCATATCCAGAACCAATAAGAACTTCTAAGGCGCGATACTGTCTAGTTTGAATATCTTCAGTGAAATGCCGATAAGTCCAACATGCATTCCCCAAATCGGCAATTTTCACTTCAATATCACACGGCTGAGTAATAAATTAAGAAGAAAAAAACATCAGTAGTCCAAGGTACAATGGTTATGCATACACATATAGAAATCAAATAAGCTGAAGTCAAAGCGTGATACGTCAAACAGTTAAAACAAGGCGATTACGTAAGTAGAACTTTGGCTTATTCAAGATAATTAAACAACCACGTAAAAGTTACCGAACCTATTAAGACAAATTAAATGTAAATCATCATCGTGTCCTTATGCTTTCGCCAATTTTTTGTTCTGTTTTGATTGTAAGCTAGTGAGGCATAGTGTACACGTGATATGTTTGGGCAACATGCTCCAATTAATAGTGCATAACTGCAGTGATGCTGCTACTGCCCACCTATACTGAAGTTGATGGAGAGTGTAGCAACCTAAAGTGATGCCATTTCGGCGTTAGGTAAATCAGTCAAAGTTAATGACTGAATTTATGGTTCCCTTAATCGTGACACTTTTTTTATCTCGGTATATGCAAATCTTGCAAGCAGTAGTGGTCTTCACATAACACCATTTACGTATAACTGTTTCAACGTGAGTAGGGAAAGTCCTCTACAAGTATAGTCAAAAAACAACCGGGATATGAAATGCAAGCTTTACAAATCAAGCGTGTACTGATATAGCTGTGGTCTTTTGACTATCATCAGTCAGTGAATTATGATGTCCATCCTACACCTCTTCCACTGGATAGTATCAATGACCTTTAGACTGTTTGTTTCATAGCTTAGAATATGAAAACTCTATGCCAAATAATGGAATTCAAATGCATCCTCTGTAACAAATACTGGCCATTATATGTATGGACACTTGACGCACTTGTCAAATGATCTTAAAGTCTCAAAGATATTCATCAAAAGGCAAAATAAAACTGGTACAACATGGGTAATGTGGTGAGAGCTGTCTGCTAGCCAAAATTGTAGACACCAATTTACGTCAATGTTTACGTCCCAAATCGGGGTCACGAGATAAAACAATAACAAAGCCTAACATTGAGGCACTCAACGACCAATCACAGTAGGCTTAGAGTGTGCAAATAAGATTCACAGCTATGTGGTCTGACTATCAAAGAAACGGCCACAAAGAGATGACAGAATAACTTTCAGCGAGAAAGCGACCAATCAGAAAACGCTGTTTCTATGCTAATAATAACGAAATAGTAATGTACATAAAAATATATAATTATCTCTTGATTTCCTCAATAAACGATCTGTCGCCTGGTCCTTGTCTTCTGTCGTTACAGTAACACAACACATAAAATGACATGTGAATAAGAAAAAGACTGATGCATAGTATAGTGGCTAGCCGAAACGAAAACACACTATAGAGTTAATCCTCACTAAACTGACTGAGAGTTCAACTAGAGTACTCGTAACAAATCTTTAAAGTGAACAGGAAATCAGGTGTGAGGACAAATATTCACCAGCCATGACACTGGCTAATAGTTGCATTATATCGTGAATTGGCAGAAGTTGGAATTCATAGGCCTTTGGATCAGGTCTCAGTGGTTTGATGGTCTACGAGCTCACCTTGTAACCGGACAGTCCTGGGTTCGAACCCTGGCGGTGGGTGTGCACTAATGAGGAGTTCCAAACTAGGACGAAACAGACGTCTAGTACTCTCAGGTCTTTAAATGGTTCTCTGTCTTATGTCAGCCGATGGTAAAATCCTGTAACCAATCAAATCCCTGCAAAACAGACACACTTAGCTAAAAAATGACTAAATGTCATCACGAGATTGAAGCAACCAGTTCAACTAACTTTCTAATTGAGCGTCGCGTGTTGTCAAAGTAATCTGGGATAACCCAAATGAATTTTAGAATTATCCTAAACCCTCTAACCTCATTGTCAGAGAAAAACAATTAATACAACTTAACAACTAACTATAATCTTGATGCCTTTCAAAACCCTAGATATATATATTTACACGTTTATAAATAAGTTACCATTTCAGGCAGATCTACGAAGTGATAAAAATTATAATTAACGAGAAGTATTAATCATCAGGATGGAGGATAACTTCCATTGTTATTTATCAAACTAAGTAAATTTCCTTAGTATGAATACTAGCGCATTCATTGGCGGTAGTTATACCGTAGCTGATGAAAACTCACTATTGGCGTTGAGCAATTGCAAGCAAAAGACAAAGAGTTCAACTTACTTCTTTACTTGCATCGGGTTCATGGACTACAGTTTCAAGTAGCAATGATCGACGTTTATAAGAAGCACTTTGACCAGAAACTGAAGTATTAGGCGGTACAACTAGACTTAGGCGTTTAGAGTTACCACCTCCTCCTCCGCCTCCACTAGAAGTGTTTGTTGTTAATTTAGACTCAGTAACATTAGGTTTCTTTTCATTCATTTCACCACTACCACCATTTGACGACTTTGGTCCAGTGGAATTTGATTTAACTTGAGTTGAATCGTTATTTGTTGTGGATGTTGTATTAGTAATTGTAGTAGTACCAGATATAACAGATGCTGAAGCCGCTGCTGCTATCAGGCCGTCTGGTTGTACAATCATAGAACTTTTATCACCAGTAACAGATGAGGCTTTTTGTGGTTCAGTGACAGAAGCTAATGGAGAATCTGCCTTGTCATCTGCAGCACCAGAATGATCTGGAAGCTTTTTAACCCGACGACGTACAGCCTGTCCACTTCCATTTTCATTATCTTTATTTACAAACTAGTGTTGGAAATAAAGTAAAATTAAGAGTAAATGCAAAAAGTGATGAAAGAAAAAGAAGAATATAAAGCAAGATAGGTCAGAAAAAAATGAATTTTGTCAACTACACTGTATCTCACGATCTACTATGTGCCCTTTGGCGCTCCATCACTGCCACAGAAATATTCTTTCTTCTCTATAGTTCAACTCTATATACCAAAAGAAGCAATCTCTAGAAGTATAATTATTCCACCTCTTTTGTACTATTAAATTCCTAGTGTCGCTGACAGCATTATATCCTACTCCTTGTTGTCTCCTCTTTACACCTTCCAGTTATTTGCATCCCATTATTACTAGTGAAATACAATGTGTGTTGTGTTTTGATCAACAAGTTACAGTCGATGTAAGACAAAGGACTTCAAAATTGTGGTGAATATGTTTATCTGATAAAAAAAACTATTCATTGGATCAATATGCACCCTACAAAATAAAGTAGTTTATTAATAAATTACAACTTGACATCCAGTCCAGTTAGATGACACATCCCACCGTCTGCCTACCTGCATGCCTAACTGGAATAAGTCGCTTCAAGGGTAGATGAATTTACATCTTTAAGTTATGCACTTAAAAGTGCTAAGATGATTACTGGATTGTCATGTCATCATAAAAGTGTACTGTGATATATCTCAACCCCTACCTACATTCTCATATACCAGCTCTGAATGAAGTATCGCGAAGACGAAAGGTCTCTGAAATAAACTTTAAATTTTAACAAGTAATAAAAGAATATTTCGATTAAAAAGAGGGTAGTTGGATGATTTGAAAATGGAAGATGCAAAAATTTACTCCAAGGAAGCTACACTTTCCTTCAGTGGGCAGACAAGAATTCATTTCAGTGTATCTAGAATATGAGTCGAGTAGTTTGTGTTATAATGATCATCAGTTGTAAAACAATAAAGGAAGCAATAATTAACTGATTAAAAATGCCCATTAAAATTTTTAAAAGAATGAACACTGAACAAAGAGTACTCTTCTCGATAACTTCATCATCAGGCTCTACAGTTATATATACACATTATAGTGAATGAATGAATTAGTGTTATGAACACTATTAATGTTGTTAAAATAACATCGAATCAATAATATTGATAGATTACGGCTGAACAGCATCAACATAAAATAAGCTGAATGTCAGAAAAATTAGGAAAGATAATAGTACAAGTTCATGAATTTAAAGTCTCTACTGAAGGCCGGCCAGGGCAGTAGTAGGGGCTGGACTTGTTTCTTTTGAACACAGAGCACTGGTTGTTTGAGGCGAATTGCTATAGCCTCTGCTGTTTGGAGCATGCGGTGCTTCGACGATTTTGGTAATTTGTTAGGCACCCGGTATATTATAGAGAAGGATTCTTCTACACTGGTTTTGTGACCGGTTTGCACCAAATGGTCCAATATCGAACTGTTAATAGTTTTAACTACACCTTTACTTAGCCATAGTGGGATATGTTCTCGAGCACGAAAAATCAAGTTCCTAGTTAACAGAACTGCTAAAAAGAATGGCGATGACTAGCTCAACTGTTGGAAGAATGATTGTCAGTTGAAGATAGTATGAGAACTGCCAGTTAAATTAACTTTAGAGTTACTTTTTGGTAGAATAATACACCGAACCAAATCGGTAACTTCATACACTCAACAATTTGCATCAGTCGTGGACTACTCATAGTCAAGAATAAACGAAAAGGATCTCTGTTCTTTACGACTTTACATTCTGCTTAATACATTACCTATTAAAAGACACAATCACAAAGCACAGTAGGGTAACACAATCAGTTAAAAGTAAGTCTCAAGTGGTGACACTGTGCACACGCATTACAAACGTCAATTAGAAAAGGAAAACAAGATATTCTTTTGCTTATTTGCAACTTACTTGATCGCTTTCTTCGGATGCGTCAGCTGCATCTGATCGATGACTGGCCGCTTTATTATGTTCATGTTTATGATTATCGTTTGGTTCATCTGAATTATTTTGACACGCTTTCTTTGTAGAAGCATTTGGTGAACCTGAAATGAAGGGAAATTATATTTGAAGACAGATTACAATACATACAATCATATGATACACTCATATACCTAAAATGAAAGATGAATTTGGTTATCATAGTAGCAATAATATAATCTCCCAAGTATTGTATAGATATAATTGGTATAATGAGCAAATAAATGTCGAGTGACCGTTATGATAACTCTTTATGTAGTGGAGTGGAGTAAAATTAACCTGGGCAATTTCATTAATTATCACACACCAGTAACACCTTACCACACAGAACTTGAGAACAAATACAGTCACCTTAAATCTTTGCTATCTCAACTAAGCACCCTACATCTAAAAAGAAAGATATAAGGGTATGTAGTTTAACTAGCTGAGCTGAGTTCACCACATACTGGTGTTGTCTCACTAGTGACTCAATATTTCCTTAAATATCTTTGTAAGATCAACATTGTTTGTGAAAAGAGCACAGAAAGGTGAGCAAGTTATATAGTCGTGGGAGTCTTACTTCTTACCAGGCAAAAATATGACTAAGATTTCAAGTTTGGAAGAAGTAAGCTTCAGATAACCTTCAAAATAATCAAATATTAAACAAAAAGTTTGATTGCAATCGCAGAGAACCAGAATATGCCAAAGGTGATAAGACACCAACCTTATCTTACACCACATCTGCTAGTGATTCCAACGGTATAAAACTTTGTGAATAGAATGTTTAAAAGTAACAACAGTGAAGTTTAAGGTGTAAGAAACTGAAGACGGGTTAATAGTACAGGTACACTTCATTGTTTATCTTAGATTACCTAAGATTAATTTAAATTTCTTTTTACGGTGTCATTTTTTAGGTGCTAGCTGGCGTAGAGGAATGTGCCATGCGCGTTAGATACGTTAGATACAACTCTACATCTTAGTGAGTAATGATGTCTTCCTATTGTGACGCTAGAACACGGGCATTGGAAATAGAATAATATGACATTATAAAAATGTCTGGATTATACCTAATTCAATAAACTCATTTTATTAAACTCAGAGATTAGAGATGTCTCAATTTGTTACAATATACATCGTTTGAATTTAATATTATAATTTGGTGGGTTTTTTTATTTTCTCGACACTTATTGTTAGAATTTAATTTCATTCAAAAGGTGACATTGTTCATTCGTTTGACCTATGAACATATTTTCAGTTACACTTCGATTGAAGAATTTAACAACAACAATTAATTCTTTCTATAGCAATGAGTTATTAAATGAACTTCAACATTATATTCTGTTGAGAAATATTCTATGTGGGTATTATAAACTAGGTAACTTCCACGAATCTCGTTCAGATTTGATAAACATCTTCAACTTTTCCACATTACATAAGTGTTATTTGACATAACACACAGTGAGTGATACAGTGGTAATAACCGGATTATGCTACAAGCTTCAGTTATTGCTAATAATCACGTGACTTTGTGCATAGACGACGAGTTCATGGATTTGAAATATACAAGCCACTGAACTTCAACTACAGATATTATTGTACAACAAAACTAACTGACGCTGAACTAATCACTACTAATCACAGGAAGCAACTAGATGCAGTGATGTATATTTGTAATAAAACACTCACTGAAGATAGATGGCCAGGATAACTTCCGAACTAGTTGACCAGCCAAAGGAGCAAAAGAAAAGTGGATAAATGAGCGACGACGTGATGATCTGCAAACTGTTGCATCAGTCACTTCTGGATAGTCAGATGAAGAGAAGTCAACAGATATGGAGGCTGTACGCTTCTGTCCAGGTTGGAGTAGTTTACTTGAAGAGGAAGCAGAATTAAGGATCTTAAAACTGACATCTTCACTGACATCTGCGTAAATTGAAGCACCGGACTGACCGCCTAACCGAGGAAGATTCTGTTTTTCATTTCGCATCGATGTTACTTTAGGAATATTACTGGTAGAATGCTTTTTGTCCGGAACGGTGTTGCAAGCCTTGAAAGGAATGGAGGCTGCGAAACCTAACACCGAGGCAACAGCACGCGCAGTATCCATAAACACTGCACCAACTACCAGAACAGGCGAAAACAAAGAAAGAAAAAGTTTATTTTTCCACCGATGAGAAAAAGCGATCGGTAGAGAAATCTTTCGGAAAAACAATAAACGAAGTGCCCTAGGCATTTTGACGCATTCACCCTATAACAGTACTAATTCCACTGTTTAAACAGAGTTATACACTAACTGAACTTCTTTGATTTTGGGGGGAGTTATGTGTGGATTAAATCATAGATCTGATTTATTCTATGCATGCATTAGTTAGTTATCGCGCAATTTGCCGCCTTGTTTACACAAACTCGGCAAAGTTAAACTTTAAGCACCACTAACTACCAATCAGTGCACGACCTTGGATGCACCAATTACATGAAGGAGGCATTTTTGGTTATGGGATATACATATTTATGGGGAAAAAATACATAAAAACTGTTTAAAAGTGTTACAGAGGATTCCTTTCCCCCACATGTGATAAAAACATCTCCCAGTTAACACAAGAGTATCAACTGGAAAGTTACACCACATCCTATGCATATATTCATCTAAATGACTACAAATAACATCCTTTTGAGACCCATTATTGGCCCTAATCCTGTTTTTAACCTTTCCCAAAAGCCTCCAATAGAATTGGTGTGTCACTGTAGTGGGTTACACAAAATCATTAGAATGGTTGATTCTGTGGTGAATATATTCAAGGGATGACAGGGAGTTATTACCTTTACAATCATTGGTGTGTATTATAGATCCCTGTTTCACAAGTCAAGTGATATTAGATATTAAGGCAGTTACTTTTCTCTCTGGCATCCTATTCGACGAATCCTTTCGGTAGAGAGGTGGCATATAAGCCAAACA